AGTCCAACTCCTCTGAGGTCCCGAAGGGTTTTTCAAAGGATCTCAGGATCACAGATTCTTTCAAGGTCCTAGACATCCTGGCGTCTTGGGGATTCCTTAAAAAGAATCGAGAAAATGGATGTGTTTTGGTTTTTTGGGCGGGCGACGCACGGTCCACGCCAAGGGCCGGTCGGCTATGGGCAGGTGCTGGAGAGGGAAAAGACAATGGTACCTGGGAGGAAGAGGAGGTGATGGGTAATTGCATTCATTGTCATACGCTGCTGGGTGCGTTGGTGTTGGCAAACATGTCATGCCGCAACTTTTCGTACATTTCAAGTTGTTGATGAGCCAGAGAGCTGCATGAAATTGTTCAGGTCATTGCTCGTTGGAACTTCACAAGAAACCCCCGAACCAAGATGGACAATGGAACTGCTTTGGACAGGCACTAAATGCACACATTGCAAGATTGTTTGCAATCCATGATAATCCATGTGTTTTGCAGAGGTGGGAAAGTTTGCTGTTGGACCTGCTGGAGAAGCACAATCGAACGGAGCCTTGGCAGCATGTAGAGCACAGCAGCAATGAAAAGCCTGCACAGTACTATCGAAGAGGGCACTGACGGACCATGCTGCTGCTAGTAGACGTTCCTGCACTGATGGAGTCTGCTGGCCATGCAGAAGAGTGCTGAGATACCTGCCACAAGGATTTCAATGACCGCAGCATCAAGTGAGTCCAAGACACCATTATGCAGTGCCAGATTGAAGGCTGTGGCTGGGAGAGTCCTGTTCCCAAGCTATTTCTACCGATGGCACCAACATGATTGGGGCTACGAACGTAAAGTGTGGGCTAGCACTGATGGTGGAACGAGTTGGGCAGAGCTAGCGGCCAGCACGAGCGGGCGCTACCCGGGTTGCCTTGCCATTTCGCCCAATGGTGAACAGATAGACTTGCTGGAACCAGAAGCGGCAGCAGCGGTGTGGTGTATCAAAGCAGCGACAGCGGAGCCAGTCGCAAGCAAGCGGCTCCAACGGTGCTTTTCGGTGGAGGGCGTGCGCCATGCCCTCGGATGGCACAAAGAGGCTGTTCAGTGGAGGGTGGTCGCTTCAGGATGGGATGCGGCTGACATGACACCGGATGGCACCAAAATGGGTGTAGTCAATTGACGTCTACCTGAACCCACCAGTCGTCGACGCAGCAATCGCTTGGGAAAGTACCGCCAGTTCTGAAGCCTGGAACGCCTTTGCGATGTCAGATGGTGGCACAAAGATGCACAAAGATGGCGGCTGGGGTGCAATTGTGGTTGAAACCTTCTCGCCATCTCGGACACCTCGGACAGTGGAGCGACATGGTAGGGGGATTCCACCCTGGGAAGCGACAAGACTTGGTTCGGTGGCAGTCGCAGCCAATGATGCGCACATATGGACTATAGCTCTGATGGTGGAGGCTAGTGACGTTGCCAGCAGCAACTTGCTTTTCAAAGTTGCAATGTCGCGGACACCCCAGCATGCGAGCGAGAGACGCAAAAGTCCGATGCAGTGCAGCAGGCAGGTTCAGCATGGTTCGCGTGCTTGCACAGTACGGGAAGTTGTTCAAGTGGCCGGCTGCGCAATTTGCCGCACCATATTCGTTAGATGTCACTTCATTTCAGTTCAACTCCCCAGCTCGCATATTACGTGCTCTTGCTGTGCTGACTTTATGGCCCAAAGAACTGAAGCGTCGCACTTGGCACAGCGGCCAGCAGCCCCGAGGCGTTGAGGTGGCCGCAGCTGAGTTTGTTGATGCGTTGAATCTTCATTGTCTTCATTGTCAGCTTTCATCGTCAAAGAAAGCAAATTCGGACTGAAATCAACTGTCGAACGAATGCATCTCTGGACAAGAAAGTGTAGTGAGTGTAGTGAGAGCCTCAAATCGGAGCACGCTATAGCAGTGGCATGCGGGTTTGTTGAGGGTTCCAAACATTCACCGGACGTTAACTTGTGGCGCCCGACTCATGCCCAAACATGCCCAAACACGCTCACATGTAGCATCATGGTACTGTACCACACAGTTTCTCAATGTCATGTCAATGTCGTCTTGGTATAGTAGACCAGGGGTTGCCGGTCAGTCAAAAGCTGTGTCGGCGACAGGCCCCTAAAGACCCGTAATTTAAGCTTCAGTCATGGGTCTTCAAAGACTACGTGGCTAAGTGGGTCCATAGTTATAGTAGCGCTGCCGTCTAGCGGTGTCAGGAGCCCTGAGAAATCAGCCGCAAGTTTTGCTGTCATAGACGTTTGGGCGGCATCTGATTGCAATCGATTTCTGCATATTGGGGGGTTTGACGACCGGTCAGCTGAGCAAAGCAGCTCTGATGCAACGCCTTCAATGAGAGAGGGGTTCGAAGACGTTTCGGAAGCAGCCGTGCAGTGCCTTTGCGTAAACGTTTGCCGTTGCAGGGCCTGGCTGTGGGGCACTGGACCCCATGGCGGATGGCTGGGTCCTTGGAGATGATAGTTTAAGTGCTTCGGGCTTGAGAGGGGCTGAGCTGAGCGTGAGAGGTGTGAGTGCTCTGTGCTGTCTGTCTGCTTCTTTGTCTGTCCTGTCCTGTCTGTCTGTCGGTCTGTCTGTCTGTCTCGAAGCCCTGATTCTAAGCTTGGGGTTTTTGGATTCTCGATTGCCACCGGGTGCTTGAGCTCTGTTTTTCATGCAGGGGGACAAGATCCTTCAAGCAAGCCTTGTCCATCGGAGCTATGCTTGAAGGTGGAAGCCAGGTCTGATCAACCTGGTGTACCTGCACTGTGCTAAGTAGGTTAATTATCCTCGCTGTACATTGGTCTACAGTCTTGTGACGCAACATCATCGCTCTGTATGGTTTCATGACAGTCAACATCAGGTTTTCAACATCAGGGTTTTGCCTTGCAGAGATGCTGAGTTTGAGCCTCTGAATCCCACCTGTCCAGGTTTCTAAGGTTTCGAATGATCGACATCCGCGATAATATGACCATCACAAAAAAAGTATCCGTGATTACACGTTTCCCCGTGTGTGTACGTTTGTGTTGCTTGGGATCTGCGCCGCTTAACTCTCACTGAACAGGACTGTAGTCTCCCTAATCTTAAGAAATTCTTGCTAAGAAGGGTGGCCGTTTGGTTTGAGGCAAGACACTACCATAAGTTTCCGAATGACAGGAGAGGCTGCCGAAGCTCCGAAGGCTGCGGGGTTTCGTCTGTTTCTGTGGGTGCTTTGAGTTCCGCGGCTGGAAGAGGGTAGACGTCGAAGGCACTGTGGGGCTCGAGACTTGCTAAAGCTGCAGCCCCCATTGCCCCGACTTCGCCAGGTGGATGTTGATGAGGCAGCACCAGCAGCCGATGAGACCCAGGCGATCCTTGCAATTCATCGACATGACCGTACATTACCTCTTCTTTGTAACATGCTACATCCCAACGATGAGGAGGAGGCCGTTGTCAAATCTTGTTGGCATAGTCCTCATCATCACCACCACCACCACCATCATCATCATCATCACACTCCTCCTTGTATTATCGTTATGCGCCGCCATTTGTCTTGTTTGGTGCGCACGCTGGAAGCTGCCAGTAAGCTGCCCAAGCTGCCAGGAGTCCAAGAAATCCTTCGGCCGTGGCCTCGCACTAGTGCAAAGAATGGCATAGGTTGGGAACCGGAGACATGATCAAGAGTGTACCAATAGATCAACAGATCATCTTCCAGACGGGGTCTCAACATGAGTGTACTGGCTGTCCCGTTATGATTCACACCATGTTTCATCATTTTTCATCTGATGGGCTTCTGTGTCGTATCCATAGATTGCTTTCCGCGAATAAAGGGCTTTTTGCTTCAGAGTACAAGTACAGAGTGCAGCTCCAAGGTGGTCCGAGGAAGCGCCTGATGTGGGGCCGTATCTTCTTAGGGCAGGCTAGGCGGGCACATGCGGATGCGGGCACACGGAACTCTTAGACTCACGTTGCTGCCTTGCTGCGCTTCATGTCGTCCTCGTTTCTATCTCGCGAGCGGCCTTGCGGTGGCAGCTTCCATCTGCCAGTGTGAGCTTCTTGCGGGACTCGCGCGCACATTGCAGATTGATGCAGATTGCAGGTCTTGGACTGGAAGGCCTTCTCTGCAGTGCAATTGTGCAGTGGGCATGGCTGACAGAAGTTCTGTTAAGAAGTTGTTGTGCAGTGCTTGTGCATCCGTCACTGACTGCCACCGCAGACCCTGTCATTCGCTGGCCACAGATCTGTGTTTTGATTCGATTAGGGCTGACAAAAGTTTGTTTTCTTTCTCAGGGGAAGTACGGCTGGATCCTGCCGGTGGAGCCGATCCTTCACCAAAAGGCCGCATGACAAATGCATCAGAGCGTCTTCACCATGTTTCAACTTTCAACATCTTTGAATTGCAGAGGCGAATCTGCGACAAGGGAGGCTCTTTGTCAGTGGCTTCCTCACGATACAAAGATGGGTGGACAAGCGGAGTGTGCGCGATAGTCACAACTTACGTAACTTGTGTCGCTGACACTTGCCTGAGGCAGAACAGACTTAGCCGGTTGCTTAGCTGAGGCCCATGTCAGGACCAGTTTGTGTTGTCATTCCGTTCAGAAAGCTTTCGCAGTGATGTGGGGCGTGGGGGCCAGTTAGCTTCAGCTGTGGGTAGTTGTCGTCGAATTGTTGCCTTTTGCTGCAAAGTGCTTGTCCCGCAGTCGGGCCTGCAGCATATTATGTTCTTGCTCCAGTGCTGTCCGCAGGTCACATGATGTTATCATGATGTTCCATGATTCAGCAGTCTTGATATGCTGCTCGAGGAAGACGGAGCGCTTAGTCCGAGAGCGGAGCATGCCGTAGCATCTGCACAATGCGCAGAAGCCGACGACACCTACGTTCAACAGCCAAATCTGAGAATTTGCAGCGTCGAGTTTTCGGACCCTTCCTGCCGGGCTGGATGGACCGCTGAAGCCGCCCACGCCCACGCCCACGCCCACGGGCCATGCAGATGCCGTGATGCGATGTAACGTGTCCGGTGCATCGAGCCCGCGGCCATGACAGCTGCCTCAGCCCTCTTTCTGAACAAGCCTCTTGTCACAACCAGCAATGAACAGCACAGCTTGTATTTTAACTGACTTTCAAGTTGCGACCTATTGAGCAAGACCTTTCTAAGGCCCACCAGGCCGCCTCAAAGTGTGTGCTTGTTGCCAACAGCCTTCAAGCTCGAAGAGATTGCTTGGAACTTAGTCGGAACATGAATGCGCTGGATTCACCGCAAGTAGATTGTTTGGCCATGAGAGCAAAACGATTTGCCACGTGGCACGAGCCCAGCAGCCTAGCCCTACACGCCGCCGGCCACAAAACCGACCCCAGAGCCTCGAGACAAGCACGAGGTGGCATCAGAGGACAGCTGGGGGTGGGTTTGGCACATTTTGGGACACCTTATGACACCTTAAAGTGTCTAAATATGCTCCCACACGTGAGAGGATTGGGTGGACCCGGACACATTTCCGGAGAATCGCGGCGCGGATGGGGTGAAGCCTCTCATCTGCACTTGCTCCATGCTGCGCACTCGCCACACATACAGTACGGTCGCTTCAGATCCACAGCAGTCGGCAGCCGAGGTCTCATGGTCCTTGGCTCAGTTGCGATTTTGAGAGACTGAGGGCATCGCCGGAGCAGACGGTAGCAGACTAGCAATGCCAAAACAGCACTGCCATTGCAGCAATGCGGTCTTCAAGATTGAGGCCAAAAGAAGCGATGTCAAAAGGGCATTGACTACGCCCAGACATGCCCAATCGGCTGGAAGTATGTGCCTGGGCGGTGGTTAAGTTGACCCTTTGTGGTGCAGAGTTTTTTGGCTCTCAGACGTGAGTTTCAAAAGAAGCTTCGCTGCTTAGCGAAGACATCACCAACTGAAGCCATTGGAGCCTTTTTGTCGGCCCCCGGTTCAAGCATCTGATGGCCTTGACTGAGCTGTAGAGCTTCGAGAAAATTCAGAAGGTTCCAAGCGGCCCGCAGGGGCCAGAATGCCAAGCTCCGCCAACATTCTACACTGCACCTTCGGCGCACTTAGCAGCTCAGTGATTTTCAGTGCCGGCAGGCTGAGGAGCTGTGTGTGATTCATACCTTAGGCGTGAGGATGTTCCCAGCTTAACAGGAAGCAACTCCGCATGGCCTCCACAAGCCTCAGGAGTCGTCGTGGTGTCGGGAGCAGCTGACGCCACGCCAAGCTGTACCTGCTCGGCTGAGTGACGGGAAGGGCTCAAAATTGCTCTGGGCGGTCGTGCCAGAAGTGCTTGTGACGATCTAATCACGTGTCTACTGTCAATCTGCCGCTTCAGTCGTACTCCGGAGAGATGTGCTATGTTTTGTGAGCTTGGATGACTATTTTTGCATCAAACTTGCGTCCGGTGAGGAATGGGAAAAGAAGGAACTTTATGACAATTGCTACTTGGATCTCTTCAGGCGGCTTGCAGTTGGCCTGTATGTTGGCTGCACAAGTGCATTTTGTGCTGTTCACCACACCTGGCCTGCTGAGAGCTGAACTGCACGAGCCCCCGCCCCCCATTTTTCCTCAGAAATCCTAAGTGAGCAATTCGACAGCACATATCGACATCTGCCTGGTCTGTAAAACATGGCGCCCATGGAGGACGCAGCCGAATCCTGGGCTAAAACTTCCACGAAAGTGCTCGTCTGAAGCCGCCGGAAATAGCAGCCCAGTTTGCCCCGGGTGTGAGGCAGCTCAGCAACCGAAGGGCCTCTCGGCAATAGGTATGTAAGAAGGAGGAGAGGCGTGGGGCAAGAGGAGGGGAAGAAGAAGAAAGAAAGAAGGAAGGAAAGAAAGAAAGAAATAGAAAAGAAAGAAAAGAAGAGAAGAAAGAAATACGTAAAGAAAAAGATCCATGAACACGGGCGTGCAAATGCGCTGGAAGGGGGGTTTGTCCCTGGACCTGTAGCCTAGCCTGTGGAGGAGAAGAAGAATTAAAGGTTTGAGCAGATGGTCAGTAGCTTTGTTAATTGCTCTATTGCATCCTACGGCTATGGGGGCCTTATTTAGTCAGAGTCGAGACATCGCGAAGTTGCGAAGATAAGCGCTCAAGCTCTGACCAATGCGGCGAACATTGACGAAGGCTGGATGCTTTGGCCCTGCCGCGATGTGAAACACGACTACCGCAAGCCGTGCCCACAGGGTTGGACATGGGAGTGCCCCGGCTGGTTTAGTTGAGCGCCCTTGAAAGCCCTCTGTGTTCCATTCTTTGGAAGCCTTGGAGTGATATGCCGTGCTACGTGTTCTGGTAGACAGGGAACGTTCTCATGATGTGAAACTACTCCAGGATATATTTCAGGGTTTCCAGGTTCCAAAAAGGGGCGATGCTTGCACCTGCCTCATTCAAGTGACGCTGCTTCCCTCGATGAGCTTCTGCTCTCAAGCCAGCATGTACGCCAGATTCAATCCCGTGACATGCACGCCGTACAAGCGCTTGCAAAGAAAAGGTGCGCCGTAACCTTATCGGTAGCGATGGAAAGCAGAAGACCAGTACATGAACCAGGGGTTCGTTGTCGTCCCTCCGCCATCTGCCATGCTGCCGTCGGTGGTCGCTGTCTCATTGGGTTTGGCAGTGCTCCACTTCTACACGGCAAGGTGTGGAATGCGATCTCGTGTAGCGCAGCTGTTGCAGCTGTCGACTGTTGCGAGCGATTACAGTGAAGCGCAATGCCCCGAGGATACTATGCTGGCGGGCTTGGACGCCCATCTTCAACAAAACCATCCAAAATTGGAAGGTGTCTGGCACCAACATCAAGAGATCAGCTGAAGTCCTTGCGTGCATGCATCTCGGCGCTCATTACGATGTCCAGAGGTTCTAATGCACTCGAAAAGCACACTCATGTGCGCCTTTCGAAGGGTGGGTTTGAGGCACGGGTCGATGCTGGTCTGGGCAGCAGATCCAAACTCGGAGTGGGAGTTCAGATATAGGCTTATATAGGGACCATTCCATCATATCCCACCCTTCAAAGTTCATTTCCGGGCAAGGCTGTAGGGACTGCGGGAGAGAACTGTGCAGATTGAGATGCTTGTAGCATCTGAATTTGGTGAGTCCACAGCGAGCAGGATTCGGGAGAGCCACCCGCAGCAAGGAGTTAACAGCACAAAACAAGCACCCGCGATGGGACTGTGGGACCCCTTGTTTGGAACTGCGTCCAGTTGTTACACTGCCTCATGGGCGCTTGGCTCTTACGCAGGCCAACCACCAAAACACGAAACCATCCCAAGCCTGACAGGGGTGTGTTCTTGGGTTGTTTTTTGCTTGTTGGCGTGTCGGCCGGTACGGTGTTGGTTCCTGTATAATTCCAAGACTAGGCATCAACAAGTGTGGGCCGGTCATACGCTGGAGTGACATGATCAGTTCTCCAACGTTCTCCAGACACTGGCAATGAACTTCTGGACCTCTATGTGATCTGCCGGCGCCATGCTCTGGATGTTGATTTTGGTAATCGTCGGTCGTCGTCCGTAGCCATTTTGGCTCAAGGGCTCAGAAAACCGACAACAGCGTCGGATAGCTGGATGCCCCAGTGCCCGGTCAATCGCCCATGTATGGGAAGGGCACGCCTAGAGGAGCCAAAACGAGGCGGTGGCAAGCAGGTCTTCGTCAAGACGTTAGTCGGCAAGGCTGCCATAGTATGCCATAGATGTGGTGGTCGCCAATGGCCGAGTTACACAAGTATGCTGGTGGAGGCAGTGGTGTGGCCCACCTTGGACGATTTTTGCTCCTGCGGGTTGAGGGGAGCCCATGTTGACGCAAACGCAGTGGATCTCTGGCTTGATGGCCCCGAGGGGAATAAGTGCTGCGATGATCCTGGTGAGAGTTTTGCAGTGTACGTCGCGGACGACATGTTGCATGGAGATGCACCTGACACTTGCCTGCCAGCCCAACACAATTTTAGCCACTCCGGGGCTATTTCGGACCTGCTTGGTGATTGTCATGGCAGGAGCAAGCTCTGCGCGGAAACGTTTGGGCGACATGATGATGCAAGCACACGTGGCTTGCTTCTTTTCACGCAGCTGCACGATGAGCCTGGCTTTGTTGCGAACTGGCGTGGTGTTTGGGAGCCCTTACCCCAGGCTTTGCATGACATTGGCCAGGGGAAGAAGCCTTCGGACCATACGATCAGTGGTGGAGATGTCGCCTTCCGTGCCTTCTCGTTTGTGGACACCCTGGTTTGTAACCAGACGGCAATCCCCAACCTGGACTACAACGTCCAGCTTGTAGCTGCTTCGAGCGCCGAGGTCTCGCCTCATGTCCCGGCCAAGGTTCCCCGTAGTGATGTTGCTGCTGGCAGTGTGTTCTCCGGCAACGGAGATGATGTCACCAAGTCTGCGGTCGTTCTTCTACGCGCGCTTGACATTTTCCTCGAGGGCGCTTCGGGTGAGTGGGCCACCTGCGTCGCCTCACCGCTCAACTTCTTTGAGTACGGGGTTGGTGTGTGGGACCCGGGCGGACGCAGAGGGGCCAGGCCTCCACTTTGGTTGGAGGCCTCAGACACGATTGACATCGTGAAGAACAAGGAGGGCATCCCCCTGGAGTCAGACTACAACATCCAGGAGTCGATGCTCCACCTGGTGCTGCGGTTGCGCAGTGACACGCAAACCTTCGCGAAGACGCCCACGGGCAAGTCCTTCACTTCGGTTGTTAAGGCCTCAGACACGGGTGACATCATGAAGGGCAGGAAGGACATCCCCACACATCGGCAGTGCCTCATCTTTGCAGGCAATCAGCTGGAAGATGGCCGAACACTGTTTGACTACGACATCCAGAAGGACGCAAACGGGCAAGGCCTCACTCTGGTCGTTGAGGGAAGCAGTTAGAGCATGGGCACGCGCTCTTGGACCTCAGCATCCTACGTGATGGTTCGCCCGGAGGGTCCGAGTGATCTTCAAAGTCCCATGTACCAGTAGCTGAAGGATGGTCGCATTGATTGAGGGTAAGCTTCAATTGGTGTTTTTCGCCATCTAGGCTCCTGTGTGGTTTCACGTTTTGCTTGGTGGGTTTAAGGCTGTCCCGGGGACGGTTTTTCTTAGTTGTGCCGGTTTAATCCCCTTGGCCATGCTCACCGGCTGAGTGCAAACTGGGCTTCGCCGTGCGTTTGTTTTATTCCGGGGAACCCAGATTTCTGCTCCAGCCTGTTCACAAACTTTAATTAGGTGCACGCAAAGGCTGCATCCTCACGGGATTCGGTGCCTCGAAAGTGGAAAAAAGTGGAAAAATCGTCGGTCGTCAGCGAAACCCCGGAGACCTGTCCCGACCTAGGCATCAGAAGCGTGAGAAGCTACTGAAGGAGACGGCCAGCGCATCTCGGAGTCGTTGTGGGCATTTGTCAGAACGCGCTTGCCACGCAAAGTCTTCACAACTGCCATTTCCCATGCCTTTCCATGCGGTGCAAGGTTTGGTCTGTCTTGATTGAATCCTTTTGGCTTCCATACTTCTGTGTTGCTGCTTGGATCCCATACAAGCGCTATCAGCATGCAACAGATGTCGGATGCTGCAATCCAAGCCGGAATTCCAGCCAAGGTGAACTTCTATGCATGGGGCGACCTTTCCCAGATTCCTTGCTTCTTGAGCACCACGGTTGCGGGCAATTGAGGGGTTGTCTGCCAGGACAACACTGAGCCGTGAGTCGTGGGGCTCTGCAAAGGTGGTTTCATCGTGGTGCCCGCGCTGCACAAACTTGCAGCACCGGATGTGAAACTGACGGCTGCCTGGTGGACTTGCGTCATGCACTCCTGAAATAGCTTAGTTTTTGGGATGTATTCGGGTTGTTATTGACAGCTGATATGCTTCGTCCTTGCTTCGTCGAGAATGGGGTCTTCAGGATGTTTTGTTCGACAGCAGCACAGTCACAAGTTTGTTGAAGTCCTTGAGAACACAGAGTTGATCCTGGCAGGCTCCAGTGATGCAGCAGTTCACCCTCAGCACCTGTTTGGCAATCCTTCTTTCCAGTGTGGGCTTTCCGAGAGAGCCTTGGAGCGGCATTGCAATAGGAAATGCGAGGTAGCCACCCTGACACCACACCGAGTCACATCATGTTTCACATCATTTCACGCCGCAGCCCTTGCCTTCAGGGTGCCACGGCAAGTAAAGTCATCGCACCGTCAAGTTGACGCCCAATGCAGATGGTCGTAGCTTATGACATTCCATAGGGGTCGACAGGGTTCGTAGCTAGTAGCGGGTCCAGCAAGGTTTAGCTTTCCATGCGATCTATACACAGGCGGCGCTAGACGGCCGCTTGAATGGGTTAGGGTTTGCATGAACGTTTTTTTTGTGGTTGGTTTGGAGCTTTGCGGCTGTGTTCAGGATCACAGAAGCACACATGGCATTCCAATAGGACAGGATCCATGAAGGGTTCCCAGGGCAGGTCCTTCCATAAGGGGCTTAAGTAATCCAAAGAAGGAGGTGCATGCGGGGACCAGGGAGAATCTCACAAAGGGAGTCCATACAGGGTACAGCCAGGCAAGGTGTCCACAGTGGTCCATAGTAGCAGGCCTGGAGGCGGTCCATGGGGATCATTGTCCTCAAAGTTCACGGCAGGTCATGCAGTCTAGGGATACATAGGGGAAGAGGAGAGCCAGGAGCTCTCCTTAGACCTGGGCGAATGTTACAAACCTCACCATACCCCTCTACCTCTACCCGTGAACAAGCTGCAACTGACAAAGGAGCTGCTTCCGATTCTCTATGTGGCACGCATCATGCTTGGCAGCTTTTGCACGGATGCTGGCTTCTGCAACATGGTGAACGTCCTGATTGCACCACTGTGCTTTGGCTGAGTCACTGACAATGTTCCCACCCACCCGCCAGCGGAATGTAACCATCTTAGTCACAGTGAGACTTTCCCGAAAGGAAGGCATTTTGGAAAACTGACCAGATCCATGCTGCAGGTGGGTGCTCTCGCACTGGATGCAGAGGGACTTCTGGGGGTGCTTCGTTTTGGGATGCTTCTGCCGTCCTACTGTGCGTAATGTGGTGCTCTACATGATAATTCGTATCCTACCGGGCAAACTCACCAAATTTTTCGTTTCCCCTTCCCCCACCCCATCCCAAACCCCCCAAACCATGAACAAAAGACCACAAGAATCCCCAAACCAAACACCCCAGGTCCCCGACCCAAAACCCTCCATTCCTAAACCATGCCTCGTCGCACGTGTAGGA